GGGGGGGGTAAGTGTGCGACCTCTAGGGGTAATCAAACCGCTAGGCGTCCAAACTATCACGGCAGCCGAAACGTTGTGCCCTGGAAGGTTGACAACTGGTGAAGTAGCCTGGACGCCCAGACCGAGGGCTGTTTTGCGCTTTAAACACTAATCTGAAGTCTCCTGCCAAAACTTTCACCGGCTCATGATTATCAGAGTGGCTCAGATTTTGCGCGATTTCCCCTCATTATCATTAACCTTGGGTAGTTTGTTATATCGCCCTAAGTCACTTGGAGGGAGGGTTACCGGCCACCGGAATACCTTGACTGTTGAAATCGGCAGCCGGACTGTGGCGACTCCTTGTTATAGTGTCAGGGACCCGTTAACGACGTCTGGGAAGAGGCTGCAACCACGTGACAGCTCAGTTGTCATAGGTTGCGACCGCAATCGCGTGCCCAATGGAGTGGGTGCGGCACTGGTGGTAAGAAAGTGAGGCACCGGGGACTTACGAAGCACCTGTCACACCCACTCCTCCCTCACCCATCTTCCTTCGATGTCTTCGCGTGCTGCACGCGCCATGGTCTCCACAGTATGTGCCAGGGTCTCATGGCAGTGGGTTGAGTCTCACGTGAGTGAAAATGCCGTAAGGCTGTCTTGAGAGGGAGTGGCTGCAGCCTGAGTCCACTACACTTCTCTGAGTTCCAGCTAGGCCGGATTTCATGTCGTAGCCGTACCTGCAGTAGACAAGTCCCAACCCCTAACAGGTACGGCTACGAAATAGGATCTTACCCCCAGAGGGTTATCCCGTCAACTAGCACTCATCTAAGCTGCGACTCTTAACGCGCCAGATTTGTCATCATGTGAAGTACGCCGATTTGGCATGGAGATGCACTTATCAGTGTCCACCTTTTCCTCTCTCTTTTGGCCACATCCATCCGCCCTGGCGTGGTCTTTCCACTGGTGTGAAATGAGGGAGCGAGGTCCGTGCTGTTCACATCGCCATCATTGTGATCAAAAGCATGCACGAGGGAGCTGTACCATCGCTCCTGATGGTGGTGGTCTTCCTCCAAGTGTAGGTTCACCCTCTATTTCGCCGCAACTGGCTACTTTCATGTTCGGCCATCACTGTGTGCACTTTATCCGTCTGTCCTGGAGAAAACGCTTTGGATGGGATGTTCGCTGGCCGTCTAAGGGTTCCTCAGTAGCAGCTGGGGGTTCACCGATCGTTCATACGGAACTCACTCGTCCCGTTGTGTCTTGAGGCTCTCTAGCCCCGCCAGCAGCCGCGCAGCGGTACATAATATAGGCAGAATGGTATTAACGACAAATACAAGGGAGACTGGAATGTCCATTCCTGGCTTATAAATCATTGTCAGCCAGTTATACCCAACCCCGAGATGTGGGTCATCTGGGGCTCGATCCCGCGACCTGTTGGTTCGAAGTCCAACGCATCTAACCACTGAGCCACGGACTCGTTGTCCTGTCGGTTGCGACCGGGTCCTCAGTTTATTTTCACGGTGAACTGCCGTGGGGTCGGAGGTTATCAAATAGGGTAGGCCTTCCAATGAGGCATCAAATAAATTTGAAAGTCTTGGTAGCATTGTCCCAACATTTGAGCTTAACTAACCCAGAGGGCGAAAGTAATGTAGTAAACGATATTTCGGAGGGTTTTGTCCTTTTCTCTCACTTCGGAGAAGCCACTTACCTGACCGCGGGGACGCACCGAGATATCTCTCACCAATTCGCGAGATATAGGCCAAAACCGGGGGAAGACTACTTCCATAGGATTATTTTAGTCATATGCGGGGCATAGCTGTAGATGTGAGAATTTAACGACGAGCGGGTGTGAGGACACTGCTTTGTTCGTTGCGCGGCGTGCCCGTTTGACAAGGAGCGGGCTTTATCCGTCTGAAGTCAATCTACGGGTAGCGTTATCCGCCATATTTCGAATCGCAATTGCCATCATTCGTCTGCACAGGCAATCGGCAAACTGATACATCAGATCACGAATAGGTTGGCGGATCCGGACTTCACACGGTATGAAAATCCTAGCGAATATTCAGGCATGGTGAGACACAATCACGCGTAAGTGTCGCTCCCACCGACAGGACAACGAGCCCGTGGCTCAGTGGTTAGAGGTGTTGGACTTCTAACCCACAGGTCTCGGGATCGAGTCCAAGGTCTTCCACACTTTAGGACTGGGTATGGCTGGCTGACGACGACTAATAAGCCAGAAGTAGCCATTTCAGTCTCCCTTGTCTTTGTCGGTAATAATAAGGTGCACTTTCCGTCTTTATGGCAGGCGATGGGACGTGCGTCCGTAGGCTCAGTCGGCAGTGTTGGACTCACTGCTCCCGCCTCGGGGAGATCAGGTTCGAGCCATGACGATCAATTATCCGGCGCCGGCGGTGACTAATTACGTTGCTTACGCTCGACCGGCGCCACCAAGCAGTGACTATTCTAGGCGGAGCCAATTCGGGGGACGTTTGACTCGAACTCGTCGGGGACATCCTCGTCTGGTGGTGGTTCATTCAGTTAACAAATCGGCCGAAGCCACCACAGAGGCGCGAGGGGGGGGGGTCAACGCAGTCAGCTGTGCTGTCAGTTAGAAAGACACCTCGTCTGACCGAGCGACCGACAAACCAAAAATCGGACGTCTCTCCCACGACGTCTACTGCCGACGCTGCACTGGTGTCACAGGAGAGCGCGCGCGCGTCTTTATTTCGAGTTCGTCAAAATTCTTATAAACAAGTGCCTATCATAGTCGGGTGACTGAGCTGATGAATAATCGGCGCCTAAAAAAGCGCTAGGCGAGGTCGGTGGGTTGTGTGATCTGTTAGTAAGGAGCCATGTGCCCTCTTGGAGTCTCGCTCACCCGTTTTCGAACTTATTTTTAGTCCGTCCAGCAGCGTCCTCGGTAGTTCCTGGTTCGTGTTGAGAGAAAGGCCTTGCTAGGCAGCTTTTCGGTGCCGTTGTGTAACTAGAGCTGAGGTCTGGGTCATGGTTTTCCTGAACTTTTGTGCCCTAAAAACAAACTGGCAGAGGATCTGGATTTGCTCCATTTTTGTCCTTTGACATGAATTCGGAGTTTTTGTAGTTAGGAAGGATTATTACACTAGGGCTAAAGCATTAGTAGGTACGTAGCAATCTGAGGTTATTTACTACCTCCTGGCGTGTTAGCCTTTTTGAGTATATTGTCGCCCACTTGCGTCGATTTCAATTACCCGAGGCCCAGAACTAGAATAGGTTTCCATTAATCCTCTAGGCTTGTATAAAGTGAAGTCGTTATCCCAACAAGGACTGGCAAAATTTCCGTGTGTCGTGGGTACTTTATACCGAAGTACTTGTTTCTTTAAACTTCGCATTTCCAGACACGGAACATCGGTGCCCAAAAGCTAAGACTCAACAACTCTTAGAACATTTTTCCGGTAAAAAGTTGAGTGAGACGCAGGTCGTAGAAGTAGTAGTAGTAGTAGTAGTAGCAGTAGTAGTAGTAGTAGTAGTAGTAGTAGTAGTAGCAGTAGTAGTAGTAGTAGTAGTGGTGGTAGTAGTAGTAGTAGTAGTAGTAGTAGTAGTAGTAGCAGTAGTAGTAGTAGCAGTAGTAGTAGTAGTAGTAGTAGTAGTAGTAGTAGTAGTAGTAGTAGTAGTAGAAGAAGAAGAAGAAGAATATCTGTTTCTTGTCATTCACCTGTTTCACGTCCCAGCATACAATGCACCCTCATTAAGAAAAAGTCATCTAAGACAGCCTAAAAATTTACTTCATCTTTACTGGAGGATCCCATCAGCGGATCAAAGGAACCCCAATTGGCTCCTGGGTCTCCGGTTTGGTGGCAGAACTGGTCACACAGCAGCTGGTCGTTTGTTTCCGCTACGTTGACGACACCTTTGTTATACTCAGGAAGAACATACTGTAGAATTTCTATGATCGGCCACCCCAACCGACCTAAATATAAAATCTACGAGGAAGTAAGTAGCAGCTGCCCTTCCTTGCCCTGCTCGCCAGGTGGATTTCGAACGGCAAAATAGAGACAGCGGTGCGTAGGAAGGCAACGAACACCATTCAGATTCCCAGTCTTCATGGCTACCGTTCCGTGGCTCACAAGCGAAGCTGTGTGAAAACACTCTTCCAACGCTTCCAGACTGAATGCAGCGACCCGAAATGAAATGTACGCGAGGTCTGATACCTCCGCTACAGAATGACTATTAGAAGACGTTTATAGGCCGACGCTTATGTGTTCGTCCTTCAGGGGCTCCCACCCGAAGCATCACCAATGATATATCATGCTATACCATACCTAAAAGACGCTTCAGTGGCGACCGAACGCATTACTGTGAGAATAGGTGTTGGAAGTACTAACCTGCCCGAAGCCACCACGCGTAGCGATCATGTAAATTAAAGAACAATCAAGTTCCAGTGAGCATTTAGGCGTACTGTATCGTATTCCCTGCCCAAACTGTCTTTGTAATTACACAGGTCAGGCTGAACACATACTCAGATCGAAAATGCGCGAACATAAGATGGCTGTGCGACAGGGCGACAAATTACCACAACTTCTAAACGGGTCACGAGTCTAACTTCACAGCCACCAAGATAATCGCCCATGCCAGAAACAATATTCGCTGAGAACTGCTTAGAGCCTGGATCTCGGATGAGGACTCAGTCAATCGATGTATCGATCTGGCGCCGGCATACAGAACCCTTTGCAGTCACTTCCAGTCTTGCGCGACCGGCCGATGATTGACTAACACGCCCTATAACAGTCGCCAGTTTTGTTTTTGTTTTTATCTTTAACGATGGACTCCTGCACGAATTCTAGAACTCAGCCAAACAAACAAACGCTTCCGTGAAAAAACAAGTAAGGGACGATAGGCGTACAAACAAGTGGGCAAATTAAAATTCAAGAATTCTTTCCCTCACGCAAACTATCTGCTCAATGGCCTTTCAAGTCAGACAGCAAGGTGGATCGTCCCCCTCCTTCCTTCGCGAAACGCTCGCCAGATAGTGGATACTCCGCTGACCCACTCCGTTAGACGAGTTTTTGCACGTACCCGAATAGCTTGGAGACCATCACGGAGATTTCCTTGTAGTTTATCTGACTGATCGGATTTAACGGAAAGGACACATCAATAATCACACAGGCAAGCACTTTCCAACTGGTACCGGTCTGATTAGACCAGCGATACACGCTGAAATGCAGTCGCTCATAATCAAACTCTATCCGGCAGAACAGCGGAGCCCAGATGACGACAGAGATAGATAGGAAAGTGATTATAGACGAGATGGGCGATTTGCAGCCACAGAGCACTGTGCGAGCAAAGTGGGGCTAAAGTGTTTGCGTAAGCTAGATTAGTTGTTGAGTCTTGAGTGTCGCCAACATGTCGGTGTCCGCGGGAGGGGGGGGGGGTTAGGAGAGAGAGAGAGGGGGGAAGGCTGTGATTGGCGGATCCGTAAGGCTGAGTCAGCGCCTGTGTGAGTCAAGTGCAAGTCGCGCGCACCGTGAAGATGATGAGGAGCTTGTAAACTGGGATGGCGACCCGTCGATCGCACAGGGCCGGCGCCTGATGGGAGACCTATAAGTGAAACCAGCAAGAGCCTCCGTTGCAACCTCAAGGGGGACAATAATCAACTGATGGTTATCAATCTTCACACCTAGAACTCTAGCCTCCCCCTCCACCTTCGCCTTGCTCCTGCCGTGGCCCGCCCTCGACACAAGTAACAGCGAGTCGCAGGACCAAATTCTGAGAAGTAGGAAGAAATGATTAGAAGAAGCATGTTGCCCGTTTAGTCTTTCGGGCAGTTTTAGTTACTGCCAATTGGGCGATTGGAATTGGCTCTCTTCCTTGCCATTCTGCTCTTCTTTGTCGCCATCTCGCCTGGCGGCGTGATCGGGAATTTCAAGCCCGCGTGGTGTTATCTTCCCTCTTTTCCTCTCTTTGCTAACTGCCACGTTAGTCGCCACATTCGCTTATCTTCGACTCCAACTTGCCCGATCCAGGTAATGACAGAAACTGTATGCATATGCTGTGTCAGCAGATATAGGAACATTAAAAAAATTAAGACTTTTTTTTACCTCTGCAAAGTGTTCAGAGAATACCAGAGCCTGGATCTCTCTGTCTGGCTATAAAGCCGTACAGTACGAGGGTTTGGCGAACCAGGCCTCCCTCTTCTTAAAACGGCATTCTGAGGCGTCCTCCCAGTCGCTCAGACCTCCCGAGATGTTTATGCAGATGGGCGCTCGCTGATCAGGTTACGGAACGTGCTCGTCCCACTGTCCCTTGGGGCTCATGCTAGAACCCTCTCAGGCAGTCGCACAGCGACTATTGGTAGAGGTAAACGAGATAGTGCCGACAAAGACAAGGGAGACCGGAATGGCCATTTCTGGTTTCTTAGCTGTCATCAGCCAGTCATACCCAGCCCCAACTGTGAATCATTTGAGATTCAAACCCCAGACCTTTGGCCATGGAGTTTGACGCTCCACCATTGATCCTCCGTTCTAAAACGGAATTTCGCCCCGATCGACACCTGTGCTGGCAGAGCTTTATCAGTCGAAAGCTGCAGGCCCACCTAAACATTCCAGGTTATTATGCCTTGTGAAGTGAAAACAATCGTTTCCGATTTCAAAGATTCTCAACCGAGATCATACGCAATCGGAGACAATTTCTAGAGAGCAGAATCAATCAGTCGACATTTCGACCGCTCCCCGGCATACCAAGTCTTACGGCATGAATAGGGCTAAACTGGCCGGCGACCCAGAAACCAAAACTGCGTAAAAACAGCAACTGACACCGCTCTAGCCCGATTCTATAGTCTGCCAAAAATCCATAAAGCAAATGTCCCACTTCGGCCAATCGTTGCCCTAAAAGGCAGCCCCACCTACACTTTGGCAAAGTGGATGTACTCAAAACTGAAGTTCCTCCAAGGCAATTCGACTACCTCAGTTCGATCAGCCTCTCAATTCCTCATAGACCTCCGAGGTCGGAGAATTCAATCGGACGAAATCATGGTCTCCTTCGATGTGACGTCGTTATTCACATCAATCCCACCAAAGGTGGCCCGCGAAGCCTTGCGCAAGAGACTTGAAGAGGCGTACGATGAGACTCAGAATGCCCTCAAAATTGAACACCTCATGAGGCTGTTTGAATTCTGCCAACAAACTTTCTTCACTTTTGCGGGAGAGACCTATGAACAAATCAAAGGAACCCCAATGGGCTCACCGGTCTTCGGTTTGGTGGCAGAACTGGTCCTACAGGAGTTGGAAAAGATTGCCTTCCTCCAACATGAACCGGTGTTTTGGCGACGTTACGTTGACGACACGTTCGTCATCGTAAAGAAGGACATGCTGCAACATTTTCCCAGCCTGCTCAACGCAGTCTTCCCGGATATAAAATTCACGAGAGAAGAAGAACAGGAGCAGCAGTTGCCCTTCCTGGATGTGCTCGTCAGACGAAACCTTAACGGTGAACTTGAAACGACGGTTTATAGGAAGGCAACGAACACCACACAGCTTCTCAGTTTTCACAGAAACCATCCGGTGGCTCACAAACGAAGCTGTTTGAAGGCGCTATTCAAACGGATCCAAACTCATTGCAGCAAACTGGAAGATAGAGCGCGTGAGGCCCGTTATCTCCGCGACCAGTTTGTGCAAAATGGCTATCCGAGGGCATTCATAAGTCGCTGCCTACGCGGTCGCCACCAGAGAACTCAAACATCAACGCCACCGACGATATGGCATGCTCTGCCATACATCAAGG